AATAATAATAATAATAATAATAATAATAATAATAATAATAATAATAATAGTAGTAGTAGTAGTAGTATTTATATAGTGCTTTCACACCTATAAAATGCTTTAAATATATTAAAGCATTTCATCCTTCCAACAACAACCTTATAAGTTAAGTGGGATTATTATCTTCATTTTGTAGATATGAGAACAAAAGCTGAAAGAGATCATTCAAGTGACTTGCCCAAGGTCACACAGCTAGAAAGTACCTGAGACAAGATTTTAACTCAGGCCTTCTTGCCTTCAAGTCTAGTGCTCTATCCACTATGCTCTCTGACTGGTTATTCTTAGTTGACCCTCAAAAAGCCATTTGAGGTACATGCAACAGAAATTATTTTCCTTGTATCAGAGATACAAAAAGACAGTTTAAACATAAAGAGACATAAAGCAGTTCAGTGACTTGGTCACTGAGTCCTTTGTAGAGCTGGCACAATAACCAGGTCTCCTCCAGGTATCTATCTAGTACCACTTTACTCTTATCTTATGATACCTACTTACTAACCCTCCTACACACACCCACACACACACACCCGTACACTTACATAACTCTTTCCTCACAACAGTTCTTAATTCTTTGGCAGTACAAATACTATTACCTTCATTTTATGGAACAGGAAATGAAGTGTCTCAGACGGGATTTGAACCTAGGTCTTCCTGACTCCAAGCCTCGTTTCTTGCCATTGGCACATTGCCTTATACTCAAACAGCATGTAGCACAACATCTGGCACATAGTAGGCACTTAATAAATGTTAATTTAATTAAATATGCTTGCAAGCTTATTTATGTCATACAGCTGAAATCAAGCCCTTGGAAACATGCCAGGAGGGCAATGATCCAGTTCTCCCACTACTACTCATACTTTGGTCAATTCTTGAGACCTCATGGATAGATTTTTCTTCTGGACCTACCTCTCCTCTACATGTTGGTCAACAGGCTCTTTTAGAATGAGCTGGGTAATGCTCTCCCAGCCTCCCTCTCCTCTTTCTTCCCCAGTCAGATTAGGTTTCATGTGTAATTTCCCGTCTGCCTGATTTTATGTCAAGCTTTCTTTTGAGTCAGAGTGTATGAGGTGCCTATCAGCCAGCAGCAGCAACAGAGGCAATCACACGGCCTTCCCCTGCATCTGCTGAACTGCTGTTCACATGCAAAATTTAATGGTGGCTGGAATTTAATGAGGCCAACTGGCACTAAAATTCAGGTCTTCTTTCATTCAGTCGCAGCAATTCAGCATTTTCGTTCAAAATGATAATGATCATCAGACTCAAAAATCTGTATGTGAAAAAGACGAGCTTTGTGTTAGGCAAGGAATAGAGGCCTGGAGGAAGCGAACTTGGGTGCAAGCAGGGCAATGGAGCTTAGAGTGGAGAGGGCCACCATTTGTAATGTTAATTACTCCACCCAGTGGCCAACAGGGTCACTTCCAGATCCTGTAGCTGGCTAACCCGAGTTATTAAGAGTCCAAAGGGGTTGGGCTCTCTCTCTAACTTATAAAGAACTAATGCTCATGTTGAATTCCTTGACCATTTACTTCTTCCTGAGAAATGAAAGATGCTAAACAAAACCGAGGCTGAGAAAAGAAACTACTTCCTTTACAATTTCTCACCTATTTTTTTATTAAGAGAAAATCCTAGGGAAGTGTAGGAGGATAGGAGGTTATGTTGTACAGCCACAGTGGTTACCCTCCCCATTTTTGGAGAACGTATTATTATCCTTCCGGCATCATATTGATTGGTATGGCTCGTACTCGGTTCAGTAACAGGTATTCATGGAATACTCATTGGTTGCACACCAGGTAATAGGCAGGGCTGATTACCTAGTGAATAACCCAAGGTGATGCAGCTACTAAGTAGACTGGTGGTGATTATATTTATGCCACTCTCCCACCTCCCTGACTTTGCACAGGCTTTTTAGAATGCTTTTTAGAACCTCTATTTCCCCCATAACCAGAAATCACTTTGCATATATGTTGTATTTATTTATCTGTGTATATGTTGTTTCTCCACAGTAGAATGTAAATACCTTAAAAATAGGGACTGTTTTTATTGTTGTCTTTTTATCCCCAGCACCTAGCATGGTAGATCACACATAGTACACATTAAATGTCTGTTGAATTGAATTGCTGACTGCATATCCGTTACTTTTATCATTGTTAATCAACTGTAAATGCCTTAAAGGCTCGAACATAGCCAGAATCATAATTTTATTTATTAGCTGGATAAGGCATTGAACCTCTCCAGGCCTTAGCTGTCTCATCTATAAACAGTCAATTAATACCTTGCCTCTTTGAAGGAAGGGTTATGGATCTCTTTAGATCTATTGTATCTAAGATCTATGAATCTGTGAAATACAATCATTATACAAATGAGCCAATACGAAAGGGAGACACTGATGCTCTCTTCATCGCCAAGACTGCAATCCTCTCAGAAACTCAGGATTTGTAAGGTCTTGTGTCCCACCCTTGGGGCACCCAGGATTTGGCTCCTGGAAAGCATTAGAGGCATACTGCTCATGGGGACAGAACTCAGGACATGTGTCCCCGACACAGTTTCCCATCTTGCTTCACACATAAAACCATCAGCCAGAGCAAAGTTCCTTTTTGCAAGGTTTTTCAGTGCCGGTACGTGATGACTTACTCACCTAGAAACAAGGTAACACGCTGTTCTAGACGGCTCCTCGAGACTCTGAGAACATGTCATTTCAGTTCTCTCTGTGGGTGAGACTCTGAGGCGTGTGCCAAGGTCACACCATGGGGGTCTATGGCGGGTACATTTCTCCTGCAGAGGAGAGCTTCACCTTGCACTGAGCCATCCCACCTCCTGCACTCTGCTCTACATACCTTCATTAAGCCCCTCACTGTGCTTTGTTGCATAAATCAGCTTGCTTACTAAGGTAATCTAGGTAAGACACGAACAGCTGGCCTGCATAAATTGTGTGTGGCAGTGACATCTGCCAGCGACAAAGCACTTCGCACATGATGCAGGCATTCAGATCGTCTGGTGTGCAGATAATTAACATATCCAACAGGTCTGGTCATCATCAAATCTGACTGATGAAAACACACACACACACACACACACACACACACACACAATATTTATGGAGCACCCACAGGGTGGTTGGCACTGTTCTGGGTGTCTGAGCCCAGAATGGAAATGGAGGCAGGAAAAATGTCAACATGTTCCTCTTACTACTACAAATATTCCATTACTGGATGTCATAATAACGACACCCCAAACTGTCTTGTTATGGTATCTTCTGCAAACTGGGCAAAAGGAAGTTTTCTGCAAGTTAAGAGGCTGAGGATCTCTGCCACTTTCCAATGAGTCAAAGGGCTACTTTACAAGCTTCCTCCATCCTGGAATTGAGACCTTCGTCAATCACCTGAGCAAAGGTTCCTATTGCTTAGAAAACCCTGGGTGTACGATTCTAAGACTTAGGCAATGACATTGTCTGTGCACATTGAACACCAGAGAGAGATGTCAATGGGCATGACCTCTCAATGACCATTGTGAGTATGGTGCCCCTTGACAGACGGGAACTTTGCCCCTGAAAGGTCAAAGTTTGTTGACTTATTATTGCAATAAACAAGAACAATTCCAACCTTGCAGCCCCGAGCAATGAATCCATCCCTGTCTGTTCTCTAAGACATCTGGACCTTGCAAGTCTCCCTTTCTAACCAGTATCCCCAAAAGACTGGAGGCAGGCTGGGAAAATTCGCCCTCCAGGGATAAAAACTAAACTCACCATTACATGTACAGCGTACGTTCCTGTAGAAACGAGGACACACAAAACTAATACGAGCTGTGCTGTAGGTCATTAGAGAATGTGAATCTATGGACAAGCTTTGTTCACAGTGTTGTTCCTGGCAATCCAGTCCAGAGCAATTCTTCTCCAGGATGGCTGAGATGCGAATCACATTCTCCAAATGTCTCCTTGCATTGGATAGCTTCTGGATGAGGTACGCAGGCTTGTAGAAGCCGCCGCTGTGCATCTGCACGGCAAATAACATGTCCAGCTGGTTGGTGCCAGCCACAGGCTGGATGCTGATGATGTGGAGGCTGTCCTGTTTCTGGGAAAGGACAGCATTCCGGAGGGTCCTTCGGAACCCATGCATGTGTAGCCCAACAAAATCCTCAGGGGAGACGTTCTCGAATCGGATGGTGACTGTGTTCTGCAGCATCTCCTGCACCAGCTGCTCCACGTGGACGATGACGTCAATGGGCACCTGGAAGCGGCCGTCACTCACGGAAACATTCAGAATGTACTTACCACTGTCCAGGCCTCCCAGGGCAATGATCTTTCCATCATGGGTGTTCACCTTGAACAAGCTTCTTTGCTCAGATTTCAGCGCATACGTGAGTACGTCATACACGTCCTGGTCAGTGGCATGGATCTTCCCAATGACACCCCCGGGGAAGTCATCCTCCATTGTGACAATAAAGATCTCTAAGGGGATGGCAGTGGGCTTGTGGATACTTTCTTCAATCACCCGGACATGAACATAAGAGTGGGAAACTTGCTGGGGTTTGCCTGAGTCCTTTGCCTACAATATTTAAAGAAGCAACACAGGAATTAAGAGGAAAAAAAAACATACTTTCAACTATGTTTCTTTTTTTTTTTAAGCCATTTTCTCCCTCAAGGTGCTAAAGATGTGCATTTAAAGTAAGGGAAACCATTTATCAGTTTCAACCCCCAAATGCACCATTGATTATTAACAGTAAGGCATGACAACAGAACAGAACTGGGGATAGAGAGAAAGATGACCCAGAAAACATTGTGATGGCATTGTTTCCAATTTGGGTAGAAGGCAGGAGTGAGGCTGCAAAGTATTGTTATAGCTCTAGGGAAGACTTTGCTTTGATTCAGTTTACCTAACTTTGATCAAAGGTCCACCATGTACACCAGAACACTATGGTAGGTACTGGGTGAAATAAAAAAAAAATTAGGTAGAATAAAGTTCTCTGCCCTCAAGGAGCTTACAATCTAGAAGAAGGGCCGTGGTACATACAAAAACAATTGTAATATGAAATAATGCATCTTCTTCATGGGTGTATGGGTGTATGTGTTAAAGAGAAGATGAATTTTTGTTAATTAAAAAAAATTAAAGAAATAAAAGAAACATGTTTCTCCAATGCCAATTTGGGGCAAATGAGCCCTTTTTGAACACAGACAACCTCAGTTTAACTAGTGATATCTGCCTCCAACATAAAGTCTGCTTGGTTTAGGAGGCCTGTTTTATCTCCTCAGGTAATTGAGTACCTCAGTATCCAGTGCCTAAGGTAGCACAGCATCATCCTTCAGGTGAGGGCATCCCTCGGGTGACCCCTCCCATCAGCTACACAGTGGTGTCATCACTACAGCACAGGTGTTCCTATTTTCTGAGCTCTGACAAGGGAGATCTCTGTCCAGACTTTGTTAGCTCTTTTCCCTTTTTATTTTTTCCACTCCTTCTACATCCGTTGTCCCACAGCAACTGATGCTCCAGGAGAGGGCAAGTGAGCATGAGTCATCCCCTGAACTCTGTTGCTAGTTTATTTATTCTTGGTTCCATCTTTTTTTTTTTTTGCAAAATGTGGAGAAATGGAATGAGATTAAGTGGGCTGGGTGAAGAAGATGAGGTTTCTCTTCCTCCTACAAAAACTTAAGAATACATCTGGCCTACACCAAATATAAGATGCTGATTCATTACTTCCCTATTTATGGTGATTCAGCAGATGATGCCATCACAAAGGAGGGAGCCTAGTACAGCTGAACAATATTTGGGGGGGTAAACTGGACCCTGGGGGAAATTTTAAATAGACTTAAGCAGAGTGATCGCCTGCTTAAGCACACGCTAAGTAACTGCTAGGCCTGAACAATGATGCCCTCATTTCTTTCTATTCAATTTCACATACAAAGCCTGCTTTTATTGGTGTGAAATTGAACTTGAGATTAAGAGGGGAGCATATTCCTACATGGCCATTACATTATGTTTACTTACTCAACAAAGAAAAACTAAGCAACAGGCACAATAACAATCAGAAATGAAAGACATCTGGTCCCTAGAAAAGGCAAGACAGTACCTGGATGTAAAGCACGTATTCGGGAGAGTCTGTGTGTCTAAAGATTACTGCTGATCTTAAGATCCCATGAGGGTCCAACACAAATTCCTCTTCCTCATTCCCTGCTAAGATGGTAAAGGTAAAGGGGGGTCCATTGTGAAAGGAATCTCGGTCTGTCACCATCAGCTGCAAAATGCTTGTCCCCACTGGTTTGTTTTCCTGCATAAAAAGTATGGGAAAAAAAAGATTAAATTATATTCCTTTTTTTTTTTAAAAAGCAAACCATTGCTCACCAGAAATACAATGTTTTGAAAAGGAAGTAGTTCCCCATGATATTTTATTATCTTCAGCCAAATACTGGTGCTTATTAACAATTTTTATTTTCCTCCCTTTCCCTCACCAATAAAGGTCGTATTTACGTATTTTTCATTTGTTTGTTTGCTTTTTGAAGTCCTAACTACGGTCTTGAGCTTAGTGAATTCTCCAATTTATTGAAACATCTATGGCCACTTGAGAGAATTCCAAAAAACTAGAGATGGAAAATGGCGTTCACAGATTGGTTCATTTGTAGGACAACCGTGGAGACCCTCTCAGGTGAAGAGAACATCAACCTGTCAGGACCTAGCTTTTTCTTAAACAGTTGTTATAACAATTATGCAGAGAAAAAACACTAGGACGCAACATTACAATAGCAGACTTTGCAGGGTGGGGAGGGCATTCTAGAGAAATTAACAAATCGATAGTAAGCACACAGAAGCAAGCACCAAAAGGAGTATTAACTTTACGGTTTTAACACCCACAAAGAGCTCAAACTGAACACTCTTAGTAGTGAATGAGCTCATTTATTACTATTATAATTATGTATTATATAAATAAATATATAATAATTATAATATAAATTATATATCATTCATTGGAGATGTGTGGCGAAGGGTGTACTGTAGCTTTAATGTCAGCAGAACAATTTTGATTCATTTAAGCAATCAGTAACTCAAGTAATATTTTACTGATTCTCTCTGCCTCTCCTCCCAAATGGTCTTTCTCCATACGCCTTGGGTCACAGGTTATCCTCACTTGGATTAAATTCCTCTGTGGCTCAGGAGTTGAGGTCCTCCCTGCTCTCCATTTAGATTTCAGTGCTGTTTTAGGTTGGAACCAGAGTCAGTTTTGCCAGTGCAGGCCTTTTGATGACAAAGATTTAGGATTAAGTGAGTCTGGGTCAGAGAGATTGAGAGAATGATACATGTAGTTTTGTCAGGGAGGAAAATACAGGGTAGGAGCATAAGCTCTAGGTCCTGAATTAGATTGAGTCTTATCAAAACCATGTGCGGGAGTAAGTCAGAGTAGATTGGGAAGAGGGAGGGAATTATTCTGAAGGAGAAAGATAGCAGGACCTTCAAGACCTGTCATTTTTCTCCTCCTCTCAAGTGTCCTTTCAATCAGTAAGAGCCAGATGCAAGATCCCTCTGGAATCAGTTACCATCCCTTCCGGGTTCAGTGAAGATTTATTGCTTCACACACAATATACTCAGCCCTGCACCAAGTGTAAGATTTATTTATTTATTTGCTCAATCTATATAGCCACTTCCCTCCAGAGAGGAAAGACGTAATGGTTGCCTCAGGGCTCACCATCCATGAAAAGATAGAGAGATATACTGCAGAGGCCAGACACTCCGGGACCCGGAGGAGGGTCACACTGGGAGGGGGTGAGGGACCTCTGGTCTTTCATTCTTCCCTTCCTGTTTGGCATTTGAAAACAGCCTGCCAGGCTGAGTGATATATGTCATAAAATGAAAATTAAGTACCTGGAGTCTATGAGGCAAGGATAGAGGACAAAAGCTGGGGCAGGGGAGAGGAAGAGTCGGGGAGAAGGGTCAGCCACCTCCTAAAGAAACTGAGGCAGGTGTAGAAATTCAGTAAATATTTATGTTGGGAGGATGGGGATCACATTATACAGCTGTTGGAAATACGACAAGAAGGGGAGGAAAATTAAGTCTAGCCAGGATCTAGGAGAGGCAACCAAAAGAATACCACAAAGTGGAGGCTTCAGATTTCATGAAAAGAGGTGATGAAAATGAAGACAACACCTGCTTATTCCGTAACTGCTCCCTTCCCCCTGCCCCCCGGCCATGCCTGGGCCATGCGGCCTGAAAAGTGAGGGTTCCAACATGTGTGGATCTAAGAGGCGCCATCCAGCCTCAGATTATCTTCTGTCTGCAGAAGTCTGGGGAGACATGGGGATCAGGGGCCTGATTCTGGAGGTTCAAGTCTATACTGGGGTGAACCTGAGAGATATCTGGGACTGAAATAATATCAATACTGCACCTCAATGCCTTTGATCCTTCATACAGACTGAGATCTAATCAATAGCTGGCCTTGTGTATATTCCTGGTGTGTGGTTTTGCAACAGCTTTTGGAAGTATTAGGATACGGGGCACATGGCCTTTCTCTCTGATGTATGAGTCTAGAAAAAACAGGACTAAGTCATCACATCTTGCAGCTGGATTTTAAAGGGCAGGTGGGTTATAAAGCGTGAAATAAGTTTTTGGCACCGGTTCAGCTCTCTAGAGGGACACTGCTTTGTCCAACTGCCAGACCTCTAAGCTCCCCCCACCCTCCTTCTGCTTTATGAAATATTCAGCACCCAACTGGCTTTCCTTCTCCTTAACAATCCTAGGGTTCATATGCACTCCCTTCACACTTTAGACAAGAATCAAGATGGAAGATGGGGTTCTTTTCTACAAGTCAAGTGAAAAGGGTAAGATGATGTTTAGCAAAAAGCATCGAAGAAGAAACAAGACCAGCATCATAAGAGTCCTCACGTTCGAGAGTCCATCCACAGAGGCGAGTTTACCTGGATTACAGCAGTATAGTTAGCTGGTGTGAAAACGGGGCCATTATCATTTACGTCGGAAATGTCTATGTTGACTGTCACAGTGGATGACATGGCAGGAATGCCGCTGTCCGTAGCTTGAATGAGTAATGAGTATCCAGACACCTGTCAGAGGGAGAGCACACTGAATGAACAGCTGAGAAATCCATAACTCCTATCCTTATGGCCATACCCCAAGCAAATTCAGGCAAAGCAGAGCAGCTCAGAGTTGTCCATTATGTGCCTGGGGGGTCTACAAAAACTAAACGGATACAAAAAGGATATATACATATACACATACACACACATATATAACATATATGTATATACCTAAAATATATATATGTGTATATCTCTCAAATACACACACACATTTTTTGGGGGGGAGAAGGGGTCAGGTCCTATGATTTCACTGGTAAAGAGAACTTCCAGTGAGGAAACTTGCTTTAACAATGCAGATTAGTACTTTGGCTTTGCAATTTAGAAGATCTTAGAGAGTTGTGGGAAGCATTGGGAGGTTAAATGATTTGCCCAAGGAGGTCATACAGCTAGGACTTAAACCCACATCTTTTAGGCTCTAAGTCTGGGTCTCTGTTCACTCTGCTATATATGCTCATTTTAATCAACCAATTGCCCAAAGAAATTGATACACTTATAAAAATGTATCCATGAAAATTCTACATGGCAGTAGTGCCTAGGTTCCATAAGGACATTTATTCCTCTAGTCATAGAGGACCATAGACTTCTTCAAAGTCACACAGGCCAGGATTTGAACTCAGGTCCTCTAACTCCAAATCACTGGCATGGCAACACACTGCCTGCTCTGTCCCACCATCTTCATTTTGCTATTTTGGGGCTTCATATAACATTTGCACTGTGGCCCAATAAATGCTACAGGGCCTCATGGGAATACTCTTAAAGACTAAAGTTTTGCCATGCTAGATTCCTCATGAGACCTAGTGGATACACTTACTGCTCAGGCTCCATTTTTTTTACAAATATTATCAAGTGAGATAAAATTTGTAAAGTGTCTAGCATAATACCTTGTACATAGCTGGTGCTTAATAAATGCTTATTCACATCTGCATTCCTACCCCTACCCCCACTCTTTAATACTTTTAAGTGGTTATATGAAAGACAAGTCCATCTCTCTCTAACAGACCTTAAATGCAAGATTCTCTCTTATGGCCTCTTCTAGTTGTAAATATTATTATACATAAGAGACTAGCCTAATTATTTTATATGTATCCCTAGCACTTAGCACAAGTGTCTGGAATATAGTAGGTGCTTAATAAATGTTTTTTGACTGATTGATACATTCTTAATCCATATATAATCTCGGTCAGTTACTTCTGTGGTACAATTCACACTCTCATTTTTTTTTTAAATAGGATGTTGAGAATGTGTCTGTGAAGAAACAGGGAAAGTATAAACTTTCCTATCTAAAATTCTATATTCTAATGAAATATGCATACATAATTAAGTAGCATTACAATTATATGTGTTTATACACATATGTATATATGTTATATATGTATTTGTACACATATATACATATATGTATGCAGACCTGTGTTCCATGTTAAATACAATCCAATATATAAAACTCTAAATTTTCAAAAAAAGAAAAATTAGAGTTATAATTCACTTTATGAAAGAAGTCACCATTAATAAGTGTTTGTTGAAATGAATTAAACAGTGAGTTCCCCTGGTACATTGAAAATATCATTTAATTTATGAATATCTGATCTACTCACATCTTTTAAAGAATAGTACTGCATAACATTTAGTACATTTTAATATTCCATCCAAAGACGAGATCCTATTAAGTCAGTAGGAGGAAAACCATTAGCAAAGTCAAGGAATTAACCTTGACTTCAATTCAAAAAAGCCAGTTACTTGTTTGTTTAGCCAAATGGCGGTACCTAGACTCTTAGACGTCATTTCAAAAATCAATAAATTCATCCATATGGATGTTTCCTTTACCAAAGCAGATCATAACCTTTCAGTCCCTTATTCAACATCTTTGTGAGTTGCTGTGGCTAAAAAAAATCACCAGTTGGCCCAGGTTCTGGTGAAGAACCTCTCTAAGTTTGGCTAGGCTGGTTGTCCAAGGAAAGCCATATAGTCTATCAAGGCCCCATATTTGCAGCCCTTCTGGCGTGGAATGCCCTGAAATGACTTCCCTCTCCTCTTCCTGCTGTTACCGCTACTGCCACCAGAGCTCCCAGGGTTACAGGGTCACCTCCAAACTCTGATGAGAAGGAATGTTTCCTCCTCATTCCTCACCAGAAAATCCCTCCAGCTCTTTCCTGTGTTCAGAGCATATAAATGCTAGCTAATATTATTAATGCATATGTGACTAGGGGTCATAATGTCTAAGTAATGATAGTACCTTGCATTTGATAGCATTTTTCAAGGCATATTGATCACATTATCTCATTTAATTTTTACTTGACTGAATGTAGATATTTGTTATGTAGAGCTGAAGATGAATTACTGCCAATTTCCACAGCACAGAACAGTAAACAGTCACTAATTTTCCTCCTGTTTATATGTGAGTGTAAGAGCTAAATGATAGGGTACAGTTTGATGCTCTGAACACAGGAAAGAGCTGGAGGGATTTTCTGGTGAGGAATGAGGAGGAAACATTCCTTCTCATCAGAGTTTGGAGGTGACCCTGTAACCCTGGGAGCTCTGGTGGCAGTAGCGGTAACAGCAGGAAGAGGAGAGGGAAGTCATTTCAGGGCATTCCACGCCAGAAAATCCCTCCAGCTCTTTCCTGTGTTCAGAGCATCAAACTGTACCCTATCATTTAGCTCTTACACTCACATATAAACAGGAGGAAAATTAGTGACTGTTTACTGTTCTGTGCTGTGGAAATTGGCAGTAATTCATCTTCAGCTCTACATAACAAATATCTACATTCAGTCAAGTAAAAATTAAATGAGATAATGTGATCAATATGCCTTGAAAAATGCTATCAAATGCAAGGTACTATCATTACTTAGACATTATGACCCCTAGTCACATATGCATTAATAATATTAGCTAGCATTTATATTTAGCTTTAAGGTTTGTAATCACTTTACAAATATCTCATTTTATTCTCAAAACTACTCTGGGAAGGAGGTAGGTGCTATTATTACAATCACATTTTCATGTGTTTGATGGTATATATTAGTGTATATGACTGAGTTAATTTACTTGGAAATTAGAGGGACAGGTTGATCCTTCCTCCACATTCACCCGCACAGGCTTACAATTAAGGACCTGTGTATCTTGCAGCAGACTTTCCAGGCTGGGTCTCTGGGAAGTATTATTAAGGCTAATCTGCCTCCTTTATCAAGACTAATTTTACCCAGCCTCTGGGGCTATAGCATACAGATTAGAATCTCTTCTGGGTTTTCTGTACTTTGGCATCTGGGAAATTCTACCTTTACTTTCTTTTTAGAGAACTGAATCCTTGGTTGAGAAAGGGCTTCTTTTATACTTAAGTAAAGTTAATTTTACTTAAGTCAAGTAAATGTAAGGAAAACTAGAGGATGTAGGCTTTTTTGATTCATGTTTCTTGATCTGGGAGTCCTTCCAAGCCATCATTGATCACAGCCTCTGGCAGGGATAAGTTAGTTATACAAAGTAGAACCATAGGCACCTGGTGCTAAGTCATAGGGCCCACATCCATGGCATTAATAAAATTGACAGTGATCTGATATTTGACAGACTGGCTTCATATTTTATCATAGAAACTGGCTGCTTTTTACTGATATTTTAGGTCATCTTCTCTCTCATCTTTCTAAAGAATTTTCATTTTGGTAACCTTGGCCACCACAAAAAAAGCACTCAAGACATCCCTGATGGAACTGGTCACTCTTCCTTAATATCTTTTGAAGCAATGAATTCTGGTGATAGACAGAATTTGGCAAAAAATTCTTCCTAGGGTCTAATCCAAATCTAAGCCATTATAACTGCTGACCTGTTCCTATTTCTCCATCTTTGTTGTACTCAGGGAATCACTGTCCACATTATTATATTATAAATATTACATAATTAGATATATATATTTTAGCTCTCTCTATAATATTATATAATTACACATGTTATATAATTAGATGTCCTTTCACAGCCCTCTCTCTTTCAGACTATATAAATCTCATGTCTTATAACCATTCCTTTAAAAATCATTTTATCATTCACTTTTAGAGGCTTTTAAGGAAGCGTATAGGGGGAGGTTGGTCTAATTAATCTTACCCGTTCTCGGTCCAATTTCTTTTTCACTTTAACAAGCCCCAAGACAGGATCTACAGCAAACTCATTGTCCCGGTCCCCACTGACGATGGAGAAGCGAATCTGTCCATTGGGTGGGCTATCTACATCTTCTGCTATTAACTTCAAGAGAAAACAAAAGGGTTAGAGAAAGAAAATCCATGCTTTGCCTAACCCAATTGTTCTACAGAAACATAGAGGTTAAGCAAACTTCAAATTATAAGCCTTGCAGAGGTGCTGCCAATTTCCCCATTAGGATTTCCCATCTTTATCCATCACAGTAACAGAGATGGTGTACATGACAGAAAAGCACCATGGCTATGGTCCTGGACTCCATTTTTATTTAGTCATACATGTCCACAGCCGGATTTGTTTTCTGGATCCCTCAGGCCCTGAACCAAAAGTAGGAATTCAAATACTAAGTGACTGCTCCCCAAGGGCAAGGATTAGTTCCTTCCTGTCTGTGTATCCTCAGGACCCAGCACTGTGCCATGGTACATAGTAAATACATACCTGATAAATGCTTTCTTCAGTTTTCTTATTGTCCTTGTATTCCCTCAAACATTTGCTTTTGCCAACTATGCTGGATATTCTATATGCACAGGTATAGCTGACATCACATACAGACAGATTAGACAGGTGATAAAAGGGCTCCCACACCTCTAAATGTGTCCCTTAACTGTGTGTCTTTAATGCTTAAAATTCTACCATTAAGTAGTTATTCATTTGGGTTAAGATAACAATCACTATTAAAATGTGAGTTATCCTTTAAACTATTATCAGTCATTTAGATCTCAGTCTGAAGTAGTTTATCAACTCCTTCCCAGTGGAAAATAAGACTGAAAGGTACCGGGGAGGGGGGTATGTTTGGTCTCTAGAGAGAACCCAGGGAAAAGAATGTCACTTAAAAGAGACCACGGGAGGGCATTAGAGACAAACTTCGACTTCACCATTCTGCCTTAATTTGGCCCTGCACATCAGGACCAAACTGACCAAATGTACCCACCACAATGACTGAGTCCCCGATGGAAGCGTCTTCACTGATGACTGCACTGTAGACCTCCTGGTTAAATGTTGGTGCATTGTCATTCACATCGGTAAGGTTGATGTTCACTGTGGCCACGGCACTGAGGGCTGGGGTACCCCCGTCTTTGGCTTCCACCACGAGATAAAAATCTTTGCACATTTCATAATCCAGGGCCTCAATGACAGAAATCCCTCCTTTGGAGAAAAATGAGGAGTTTTAGATTTGATTTTAAAAAAATGGGCAGACATGCAATTATCATTGTAAATATTATTTTTGTTATCTTTAGCCAAAAATGGTGAGTATTCAATAACCCATTTATTTAAGGTCCCTGCAAAAATATACTGAAAGCCTACTTAGTACTGTCAATCATCGCACAGCTGTCCATCAACCAGAACACTGAATCATTTAAAAAATTTCCATTGAAGAATCAGACATTTCAATAGACTTTTATAACTCAAACTGAGTTCTCTCATTTTGGAGTGCATTAAAACTAGCATTCTCCACCCTCATGCAATCAAGATTATAGTCAGGGATAGGTGGCCTTCTTGATTTTGAATATCAGTCCTGCTACTTTGTTTCTAGCTGTGTGACTTTGGGCAAATCACTTCACTCCTCTGGGCCTCAGTTTCCTCATTTGCAAAATAAGGGGGTTGGGCTGGATGACATCTACAATTCTTTCCTATGTTTGGTCACCATGGTTCCTACAGCTCAATTATAAAGCAATACAGAAAACGGCCCTGTTATAAAATGAAAACCATAACTCTTCTCTGTAAATAAAGATGCTACAGTTTTTTAGTTCTCTAATTAAGTTTCCTTGATAATTATCACACTTAGTGCTTTATTAAGTCTCCTGCCCTAACTGTCAAATAACAAAATTTAAGCAATATTTAACCATTTCCCCTGGCATTTAAATGCAATGGTCATTAGCCTACAAGTTGGAATTAATGAACACCTAAATGTATGTGGACCGCACCCCCCCAAACACTTTAATTTTAAATAATGGGCTTTAACTGAAAGAGGTGATTGCAATGCAGAATCATTGCTGGTAGGAGTAATTCTTTCTGCCTAGTACAGTCCTTCTTCCTATAGGTACCCCCTTTGCTAACCTATCATGACTAACACACTTACTCCTCTAGTGATGAGGAGGTGTGTGTGTGTGTGTGTGTGTGCCTAGTGAGCAGTGAACGTGGTAGGAGTCTGCACTCAGCCTTCACCTCATTACACTCTAGTGGGAAAGCTGACTTCTAAATAAAAGGAGTCCATCCCCATGGCGGATCTTATTTATATTGGCGAGACCCTTCCCTTACCTTGGAGAAAAACACTACAAGTTTCAAAATAGGTCTCAAGTCATTCTATTTCTCATGGCTATTTATAAGGTCACTAGCCTCCTGCTCTAGGTTAGCCAGCTAAAGCTTTAGTGAAACAATATATATGGAAACCCTTTGCAAACTTTAAAGTGATATGTAAGTATTTATTATTGTTATTATTAGCTATTATTATTTTGACTCACCATGAAAATAAAAATTGGCTCCTGTACAGTTTCCAATGAAATGAAGATGCAAGGGTGAAGAAAATGATGCAATGTAGCCTGCCTCTCCTGTTTATTTTTGGCATGGTTGTCATAGCAATATGTTTTTAGGCAAACAGTATTTCCTACAGGATGGACATATTCTCCAAATCTAACAATCTTCAGAAAACAGGGATAATTACAGGAAGAAATAGTAAGAGCTAAAAGGATTCTTGAAGGTTGTTTGGACTGACACCCTGTCCCATGCTATAATTCCCTCTATAACATCTTGGACAAGTGGCAATCTAGTCTCTACTTAAATAATTTTAGTGCTGGGGAGCTCATCACTCTCTAAGGCAGCCACTTCCACAGTTGAGCAGTGCTGCATGTGAAGAAATCCTCACTTTGATTAAGTCAACATCTCTCCCTGAAATTTCCATTCATTAGTCTCAGTTACACTTTCTAGAGGGAAACAGAATACATCTAATCCTTGTTCCATATGAAAGCTCTTTGAATATTAGTAGAGAGCTATCATGATATCCCCTCAATTTTTCTTCTCCAGGCTAAACACTACTAACTTCCTCAACTATTCTTACATGACTTCTCACCATTCTGGTTATCCTTCTCAGCAAGTGCTCAGATGTGTCCATGGTTCTTTTTAAAAAGTAACACTTAGAATGGAACCCGATGCTCCAGAGTCATTTGACTAGCACAGAATAGAGTGGGATTTTCACCTCTAGAATTTTGGACACTTCTTCATTATTTCAAGGATCTGCAATTTCATCTGAACCACATTTCTTCCATTGACACAGATCATAACCGCTCTACAACTAAGGGACTGATCTTTGAGTTTTTGTGGCCTCCAAGCTCATCCTCCTCCCAGCCAACTGGGTGGTGTTCTGCTTTTGATCTGACCTATTATTTCATTATTTCATTCGAAGAGAGAACTACTGGTGAGGAACTTCCTCTCTTAACTACACTGGTCCTTGGATGACAGACATATTGTCGGACCCATACTCAAGATTTTTCCAGTTGTAATGAAAAGCCCCCGGATTCAAGAAGCTATCAGAGCTTATATTCCACATCCATTGCCTTCAACACCCAGTGTCTTCCGCTTCTGGACATTATCATTTTATCAGTGTTGCTGAAGGCACATCCATTTTTTGGTGGGTGAATGATATTGTTGACTTATGTTGACCTAGCATTCATGTCAAAGCTCCACCTTTTTCAGATGAAGTGATATTAAGCTAGGTTTTCCCTATCCTGCACTTGTACTATTGAGCTTTTGAATATAAATATAAGACTTCACATTTCTCTTTAGTAATTTCATCTTGTTAGTTTTTGTGCTTCTTTCACATCAAAAGAACTTTCTGAAGTTTTGATTCTGTCATTCAAACTACTTGCTATCCCCTCTCTCCCACTTATTTTGTGTGAAGTGGATGTGCCTGCCTTCTTTATCCAAGGTGCTGACAGCAGTGTTGAACAGGACAGGGCTGAGGATGTATGGGAAGAGTTCATACTGGGCAAAGTGTGTGTTGGCTATTGATGCAAATTTTGCAAACTAAATAGAACTTCTGCGGCCTTAATGGTTTATGAAAACTATTTGCAAGGGCTGGGTTAGGCCATATGGTTCTCCCTCCTTTCTTACTAAATGCTGTGGAATTGAGGAAGCATAAAATCAGCTGACAGATCACTCCTGTGGCTGGCTCATATTTTAATTGGAGATAATGACCAGTTTCCAATAGGAGAGCTGGAAGAGTAATGGCTTCTGCAGAGGCAATATGTCTACTAAAAAGAGCACTAGGCTGGGGGCTAGAAGACCCACTGCTTTTATTTCTGTGTTTCTGTGATGAGTGCTTTCAGGGAAATCAATTAACCTCTCTGTTTTTCAATTGCTTTACCTGCAAAATAGGGACAGTAATGTCCGTCCAACTTCACAGGATTGTTGGGACAATGAAATGGAATAACAGATGCCAAAGTGCTTTGGAGAATGTTGTAAAACACAAGGTGTGACTATTATGATTATTGCTCATTAGCATTCTCTCTAAACCTGTTTTCCTGGCTACGGTCTTTACCTGCGGTGCTTTGTCATTAAGCAGATGACTGTGAGGAATAAATACCCCAGGGCTTCTCTGAACCTTTGTCTTTTGCTCCATATACCTATGCTGTAAATAATGTCACAAATTACTCTAGATGTTGGAGAGGAACTATGATTAGTAGTAGAAGATTAATAAATGAGTATTGATTGATGAGAGGGAAACACTTTCTGGAGAAATTCTTGGAATCCTTAGTCATGAGTATAACTCTTTTTTTTTTATGAGTATAACTCTTAAGGGCAACTGGGAACCACCCAAACTGGAGAGACCAGAACCACATAGCATTTTTTTTTTGTGCTGGCTTTCAGGCCTGACTGACAGAAGCTTTGGAGCATCCAGTTGCTGTTTTACTCACCTGTCTTTGGGTTAATCTTGAATTTCCCTCGTTCATTCCCAGATCGGATGAGATAAGTTATTTCAGCATTTGTACCAATGTCTTTGCTCGTGGCAAACACGGCAAGGACTTCTGTGCCTGGGGATGTATCTTCTGGTACTGTAACAAGATAATCTCTTCTTTCAAACACAGGAGGGTTGTCATTAATGTCCAAAACAGTGATGGTGACCGTGGCCAGGGAAGACAGCACCTTGAGGATGCTCTGGTCTGATGCCTTCACACTGATGTTATACGATGACTGCAGCTCTCGATCCAGTGGCTGTTCCAAGATGATAATGCCTGAGGAGCTGTCCACTGAGAAGTACCCTCCTGCTGAGTCTGCCAGGGAATAAACAACTTTCCTGTTGATACCTAAGAAAGGAGCAAAAATCAGAAAAATGATGACCGTGGAAAATGTTCCATATTAAATGACATTTTTTCCACTAGATCCTAATCCCTGACCTAATCTTGATTAGGATGGACAGTCAACATCCTCCTTCACTATGAAAAATGGAGACTGTCTAACAACTGCACTCCTATTTTTGTTATATTCCTTTTTCTTGCCTCAAAGCCCAGAAACATTATTTTTTAATATTTTATTTTTCCCATTTACATCTAAAAACAATTTTTAACAATAGTTTTTAGGATTTTGAATTCTAAGTCCTCTCCTTTCCTCCCTTCCCTTCCCCCTCATTAAAAAGCCAAGCAATTTGAAATAGGGTATACATGTGGAGTCATGCAAAACTTTTTTCCATATTAGTCACTTTGTGAAAGAAAACAGATTTTAAAAAACCCTCAAAGAATAAAGAAAGTTAAAAAAAAGTATACTTCAATTTGAATTCAGACTCCATCAGTTCTTTCTCTGGAGGTGAACAGCATTTTTCATCGTAAGTCCTTTGGAATTGTCTTGGATTACTGTACAAGTCATTCACAGCTGATCATCCTACAATATTGCTGTTACTATGTATATGCTTCTCCTGGCTCTGTTCAACTTCACTTTGCATCAGTTCACGCTAAGTCTTTCCAAGTTTTTCTGAAAGCATCCTGCTCATCACTTCTTATAGCACAATATATAGTGTCCATCACAACCATATACCACAACTTGTTCAGCTGTTCCCTAATTGATGGGCAACCCCTCAATTTTCCAATTCTTTGCCACCACAAAAAGAGCTATGAGTATTTTTGGTACATATGGGTCCTTTTCCTCTTTTTTTATACCTCATGGATACAAAACTAGTAGTGGTATTGCTGGGTCAAAGGGTATGCATTACTGAATTCCTTATGATTAATCTTTCCTGTTTATCTCTTTTATGCTTTTCTTAAATCTTGAATATAAAAGTCAATATTTTCTATTCAGCTTTGGTCTTTTCATCAGAAATGTTTGAAAGTCTTCTATTTTGCTAAATGTTCAATTTTCCCTGATGGATTATTCTGTTTTGCTGAACAGGTGATTCTTGGTTGTAATCCTAGCTCCTTTGCCCTCTGGAATATCATATTCCTAGCCCTGCGGTCCCTTAATGTAGAAGCTGCTAAATCTTGAATTATTTTGATTGTGGCTCTATGATATTTGAATTGTTTCATTCTGGCTGCTTGCAATATTATTTGTTGTTGTTCATGCTTCATTCTTGAAGAGAACCAATGACATCACCAAGTGATGTCTTGACTTGCGAGTGAGTCAAGTGGATTTAAGTGAAGCAGAGACACAAAGTCATCAGCCTCACTCTCTCTGCCAGAGTCACTGGAGTCCAGTGTCAAGACATAAGTGAAGATGATTGGTGATGATCCTGGCAATATTTTCTACTTGGCCTAGGAGTTCTGGAACTGGCTATAATATTACTCTGAGTTTTCATTTTGAGATATCTTTCAGGAGGGGATAGATAGATTCTTTCAATTTCTATTTTACCCTCTGCTTCTAGGATATCAGAACAATATTCCTAGATAATTTTTTCAAATTTGATGTCCAGGCTCTTTTTTTTTAATCATGGCTTTCAGGTAGTTCAATAATTCTTAAATTTTCTCTCCTCTATCTATTTTCCTAGTCAGTTTTTTCCAGTGAGATATTATCACACATTTTCTTCTATTTTTGCATTCTTTTGATTTTGTTTTTATCATACCTTCATATTTGATGGGGTCATTAGCTTCTACTTGTCCAATTCTAAATTTTAAAGAATTATTTTCTTTACTGAGCTTTTGTACCTCCTTTTCCATTTGGCCAAATCTGCTTTTTAAGGAATTCTTCTCTTTAGTGAATTTTTGTACTTTTTTTTCCATTTGGCCAATTCTCCTTTTTAAGGCATTTTTTTCTCTTCAGTGAATTTTTGTGGTTCTTTTATCATTTGACCTATTCTGTTTTTTTTAAGGTGTTATTTCCTTCAGTAATTTTTTGCACCCCCTTAATTAAGGTGTTGACTCTTTTTTCATGATTTTCTTGCATCATAACTGTCATTTCTTTTCCCATTTCACCCTCTACCTCTCTTATTTGAGTTTTAAAATCTGTTTTGAGCTGTTTCAGGAATTCTTTTGGGGCCTAAGACCAATTCACATTTTTCTTGGATGCTTTGAATGTAGCAGCTTTTACTTTGTTATCTTTTTCTGAGTTTGTGTTTTGATCTTCCCTGTCACCATCTTAACTTTCTATGGTCAAGTTCTTTTTTGTTGTTTGCTCATTTTTCTAGTCCATTTCTTGACTTTTAACTTCATCTTAAAGTTGGGCTCTGCTTCTGGGGTAGAGAGGGCACTGTTCTTGGTTTCAGGTTTTTCATGCTGCTTTATTTAGAACTAGTTCTTCCAAAGTGCTATGTTCTAAGTAGTATGTTCTAAGTCCTGGCTTGGGAGTGACTACAAGCATTCTTCTCTGCCCTGCAACTGTGAGCAGAGCTCCTGGTACTCCTGGAGCCTCATGCTCTATGGTGCACAAGTGTTTTTCTTCCTCAACTTGGGACTGGGACCCAGAACCATGTATAGATAATGCAACAGAGTCCTGCTCCCAGTGCCAGCAAAATGTCCCCTTTAATCTCCTTCTGACCAGTTGTCCAGCCCATCACTATCTGTGAGCTGAGAGCCATGGAAGCCACCACAAGGCTGTTGCTGCCTTGCTGGGTTGTGGCCTACGCTGGCACAACCTGAGCTGGACTGTATCCCACTCTCAGCACACTGAGACAGACCTTTCCTGTCAATCTTGTAAGCTGTCTTGGGGTGGAAAATTCTTTCACCCTGTGCTTTTGTTGGCTCTGCCACTCTAGAATTCATTGTAAGGTGTTATTTTAAAGTTGTTCAGAGGAGAATTTGGGAGAGTGTGGGTGAGTCACTGCTTTATTCCTCCATCTTGGCTCCACCCTATGGTGCCTTTTAAACAACAACAACAACAACAACAAAAACAACCAAAAAAAACCGCTCACCGCAGTGATCCTTTTCCTCTTCCCTGTGCCTTCAGAGGAAGAGTTGTACTCCTTTCTCCCTAAAGCTAGCTCTTCCCCTGCATTTGAGATTTCACCCATTCTTATTTTCTGAGGCACACTGCTTCTGCCTTTATCTTTAATCTCTGGAATCTTCAATCTGTATGCTAGATTTTTTTTCAAAGACACCACCAAACATATTTGGGTCTTCCCAGTCTTAAAACAAATGTAAAACTCTTACCCCTTTCTATTATTGTCATTTGTTTCCTTCTTTTCATAGCTGAACCCTTTCAACGACAGGCTGATATCCTTTGCTATCATTTTTTAAAACAACTTTTTAGCTTCCTATGTACTTTTCATGGCCCAATAAGGAGACAATCTCTCCTGAAACTGTGCTGTTATCAATCATCTATTGGAAAATGCAATAGTTATTTTTCCCTTTTTGACCATCCTTTTTCTTGAATATCTCTCATCTCCTGTTTGTTAGTATACTCTTCTGGTTTTCCAACCTCTACGATGTTATCTCTTACACCGGTCCTCTTCCTCTTTCTACTCCCTAACTAATAGTTTCCCTCAAGTACCAAAAATCCTAGAATCTCAGAGTTGGAAGTGACCTCAGAGATCATCTATTTCAATTCATAATTGAGAACTGCCTTTATGACATACTGAATGAGTGGTTATCTTTCTCTCTAGCCTCCTGTCTTGCTACTCTTCCAGGTACCTATCCTCGGAGAGCTCATCTACTTTTTTGGATTCAGTAACCATCTTCGTTTTAATAAATTCCAAATATATATTTCTGATCTTAATTTATCCCCTTATTCTAGAAGCTTATAAATAAATGCTAGTTGTCTGACTGTAAGATATTTCCATTTGGCTATCCTACCACTATCTCAAAATCAGAATGCCTAAAACCACTTTCCTTTCTAGCCCTCCTTATACTTTTCCTAGAGTGGCTCTTCTGATTTTTCAGTGGATTCTTTTTTGTCAGTGATTTCCCTAGTCTCCTTAACTTTCAGGTCCAAAACTTATAACTTTTTCTTTGCTCATATACCCACATCCATAGAGTCAATGAGTGTTTTTTTCCCTTTAAAATAGAATTAGTAAAGTACTGTAATAACCCTGTTCTTCTCTCTTCCAGATGCTTTTTTCCCCTCTGACAACCTGCGTGTTGGGGTCTGATTATTCTTCCAGAAATTCAGTTTTCCCATTACACTCTACTTATGAAATTGCAAGAAGCCTTCTGTTATTCATTAGACGAAGTGCAACCTCTTCAGTTTGGCATTAAAGACTGCCCTTTTTTTTTAAGGTACTCCATAGCTCTATTCTACTTAAGAGGTGGCCATAGTGTGTTGATATGGGCAATATATTTAGAGTCATAGGACTGAAGTTCGAGTTTTGACTCTATTACTCACTACCTATGGGTCATTGGGCAGAAATGTGAGTTAATATAATGGAAAGAGTTCTAGCTCTGTAATGAGGATCTGGCTTAGAATCTCAGCTCTATTGGTGTCTCTATCTAACCTTGGACAAGTCAAGTCAATATCTTTCTGGACCGCAGTTTCCTCACTGATAAAGTAAGAAGGTTGGATCAAGTAATCTCTAAGGTCCCTCACTCCATTCTACTTCTAAATCTATGACCCTATGATGGTAAGAGCCTTTATTGAGGACAATGGCTTTCAGATGATAAACCTTGGATATCATAAACACATCGACTGTGTCCTACTGAGTCATGCTATTCTATAGTATAATCTTCCTGAAGTCTGCACTTTGTGTATCCAGGTAATTCAGGGGATAGAGTGCTGCACCTGAAGTGAGGGATGTCTGAATTAAAATTTGACCTCAAAAACTTACTAACTGTATGACCCCAGGCAGGTCACTCAATAATAGCTAGCATTTATATAGTGCTTTAAAGTTTGCAAAGCACTTTAAAAATGTCATCTCACTTTTATCCATCCAACAACCCTGAGAGATACATGC